AAAGCCACTCTTGGCTTGTGTCCCTTTATTCTAGTACACTGATATGTTGTTTCCAGAAGTAAATCACCTTTCCCTTTCCTCCACTCTGAAACGTCTGCAATTCATTAGTTTCTTTGTTTTCTTTTGAGCCAGGCCTGACTTTCCAGCCTTCTGCCTAATCCTTTTCCTGACTGACTCTGTCTGGAGCCTCATGGTTGGCAAAGAAAAGCAGGACTGCAGTTCGCAGTGCTCTACCTAAACCCAGCTCAAGGTTGAGGACTCTCTCTTAAAGCTTTCCCGCATTTCCACAGTACCCTCATAGTTCTGAGGGGTTTAAGCACAGCTTTGAACACGCTTTATGCTGTGCCAAGAGGTCTTTCTGTCCTGCATCACTCATAAACTGTTTCTTTTCATGTTTCTCCCCACACCCCTGCAACTTTGAAGGCTTAATTCAGTGTGAGCTCGGCTCCTCTGTAGCCTAACACTGGATGTAGACAGACTGAGCGACAGCCACTCCTCAGGTCATGTTGCTGAAATCAGATCTTACATACAGAGCTTTTCTGCTTCCTCAGTCTCCTGACTGGAATCCAGCTCTCTGTGTTCCTACTCCCCTTTTTTTGGTTTCCAGCAGTTGTCACTTCACACAGAAGCAAAGGGTTTGGGGGCACCAAACAGGAGTGCAGATAGAGACAGCAGAGAGTTTCTCCTGAGCTGCCCTCTCCGTCTTTGCCTTTCGAAACGTAAGAGGAGAGGCTCAAATGTGATTAACCAAAAATGCTTAATGGTGAAATTTCTTCTGAGAGGAACTCAAAAAAGAGCCTGTTTCCATCAGCTCAACTGAATTTCACGCTAAGAAATTCCTTGTGATGATGAGTCACATCCAGCCATCTGCCAAATATTGAAGGGCACAAGGGCACCTTGTCCAGCCTTTCTCCAAGCCATAAACTCCGAGTCCATCTCTCTCTGGCTTCCCACTGCACACACCTTTCCTGTGCAATCCTTCCCACACAATATTACTGATATGAAATACATGTAATTGCCAGCATAGTTCTCAAACCTGATGTAAGCTCAAGCAGCAGGAGGTTTCCGTGGGGCGTTTCCTCGTTCTTGGCAGCGTTTTGGTCAGCACAGAACTGAAAATGCTCTGGGTTCCCGGCAGGGATTAGTGGTGTAGAAAAGCAGAAGCTCTATCTTTCAAATCTAAGCAAGTATAAGAAAAATGATGATGACTTGGGGGGGTGAAGGGAGAGCCAGGATGGGGGAAGAAGCTTTGGAAACTGAGGGTTTTAAACTTTATCCGCTTCATGTGTGCGCGGCCCTCGCAGGAATGTTCAGCATGTGGCCATTTGCTGTTTGTTACAATAGCTTCTGAGGCTGTGCTGGGCTCCAACTGCTCCTTTTCTCTCCAAAATAAAATGGAAAAACACATTCTTTCTACAAAGGAAGACATGATAAAACGGAGCAGCTCATCACAGCTCCATCTTTAGCTGACAGGCGCTTGCCTTGTGGAGGAGAATGCTTCAGTCTATTTATGTTCAGACCATAACGGTCCCTGTTCGAGCCCCATTTTGACTTCTGACTGATGTGTTATCTTGTCTCTTTTACTGGGCAAGGTCTCTGCAGTTTAATTGCAACCTTCAATTTCAGACAAATATTTACAGCCTCTGCTTTCCTTGTAAGATGAATGGCTACTTCAAACCACTCTCTTTGCTGTGTTTCCCACTCCTTAAGTGGGTTCATGCTTTTTAAACCTCCCTGGGCAGCTTGAGAAATTCAGTGGGAGTCACAGGCAGTACAATTTGTTCTCTGCTTTATTTACAGGAGCCAAGCAACAAGAGGGTTCGACCTTTAGCACGGGTCACATCCCTGGCAAACTTGATCTCTCCTGTAAGAAATGGTGCAGTTCGGCGCTTCGGGCAGACCATACAGGTACAAAGCAGAGCCTTCTGGTCATAGAATCATGTAATCCCAGACTGGCTTGGGTTGGAAGGGACCTTAAAGCTCCTCCAGTTCTAACCCCTGCCATGGGCAGGGACACCTTCCACTAGAGCAGGTTGCTCCAAGCCCCTGTGTCCAACCTGGCCTTGAACACTGCCAGGGATGGGGCAGCCACAGCTTCTCTGGGCACCCTGTGCCAGCACCTCAGCACCCTCACAGGGAAGAGCTTCTGCTTTATGTAGTCCTAGAAGCCTCAGAGATATGGGGAAGGTATTGCCTGTATGAGGGTAAAACAGGCACTGGGGTTTCCAAGTGTTTCTTGAAAATCTACTACATAGAATCATAGAAGTAACTAGGTTGGAAAAGACCAAGGACACAAAGCTTGTCTGGGACTCGGGGATGAAGAAGAGTTCAAGAGTTCAGAGGTAGCTTGTGAGATAATCAGGTTTTTAAGCAATAAAAATATTAAACTGATTCAGATAGGGGGAATGAGTTGATAAACTGTTCTAGTGCTTGAGGTAGGTGCGCTGGAGCACGTGCACTGACTCTGCTGCTCAGAAACCTTTCACTCATGTTACAGAAGTGTTGTCTAAGGAACACTAACCCCACACATGCAGATAAGACAGTTTCTGTGCCTGGGTACTAGTAACCTTGCAGATCACGAGAGCAAAGTTCAAGTGGCTCCTGATTACCTCCATAATAGGTAGAATTATGATCCTAGTTTGTTTACTTCCTCATACCTTGGAAATCAACCCAAGCTTTACATTCCCATCCTCCTCCCAAGCACTGCTGCACACATGCAGGGAGAGGTGCATGGAAAAGCTTGCCAATCTCAGGGCTTTCTCAGCAGTTTGATTAGTGTTCCTTTATCTAAGGAAAAGTGTCTGGGTGTGTTTTCCTGCCCTGCACAACAGTGGAGGATGAAGGATTGGGAGGGGCATGGATAATACTGTAATACTCCTCTACTCCTGAAATGTTGGCTCTATATGTTCTTTTAACTCTCTTTGTTTTCTTAATCCCTGCAGTCATTTGCCCTTCGCAGTGACAGCAAATCTCCCGGCTGTGCCCAGAAGTCATGTAGCAGATCTGCTGCTCCTACTCCTCCTAAAAGAAGAAACAGTGTTCTTTGGTCCGAGATGCTAGATGTCAACATGAAAGAGTCCCTGAGCACCAAAGAAATCAAGCGCCAGGAGGTAGGATATCCCTTAAACAGCAGAACTGGGATAGGCAGCCACGGCCTTGGCTTTGTCTGTTTCTTGGTGGGGAAAGGAGTAATGAGCATCCGAGGGTGGCTGTATCTTCCCGTGCACCTCCATTTCTAAACTGTTAGATTTATTTCTACATTAGTCATGGGAAAATGTAGGCTTCTCTCTCTGGAGTCTCCAGGGAGTTCATCTCCCCAGTTTGACCCTTCAGAGATGCCAAACTCTTCCCATAGGGGTGCTCAGCATTGCTGAAATTCAAGACCCAGCCACACTGGTTGCTTTGCAGCAGACCCAAAGTCAGGTTCCTTGTAAAGCAAGCTGTCTTTCTCTTAAAGCTCTTGACAACTGGTTGAAAGCCAAAATAGCAAGGCCTTGGCTTGCCTTTTTCCTGCAGTTCTTAGACAAATCTTCTAGTGACAACACAGAAGCTGACTAAAGGGATTTGACCTCTGTGGTTTTCTGGGGTTTGTTCTTTTTCATACTTGCCTCTGTAAAAGCAGTGATTTAAAAGGCACTACTATTTAATTTGGCTTGTGCACGAGCCTCAGAGCTTTCACACAGTTGTAACTTTGCTTTCTGGGAGCTGGGAAAGCCAACAGATTTACTAGAGGTTGTTGTGCCCAGGTGGCACACAGTGAATCAGATGGCAAAACTCCCCCTTACTCAAGCTGCAGAGACAGGATGTACATTATGTGAGCTGAAAGGCTCTTTCAGAGGAAACCTGGGATTAAAAATGACTCCCTAATTTATCCCCTTCCTCACAGGCAATCTATGAAATGTCCAGGGGAGAGCAGGACCTAATCGAAGACCTGAAGCTTGCCAGAAAGGTGAGTGGGTTTTGTTTTCCCTGCATTCAGTAATCACAGATAATAATGTAGTTTCTTTACACCTGCAAACATTACATCTGAGCTTTATCAGGCTCAGATTCCACACTTGGAAAGCTGGCCTGGAAAGCTGACGTGAGCAATGCTGTGGTGTACTGGTTTGCTTGCAACAAACCCAGCCATAAAAGGATTGTTCTTTGCAGTCCTGCAGAGCCAGTTGGGGATTCCCTCTCCTGGATGAGAACAGCTCAGACAGGAAAATCCCTTTCATTTAAAGGTCTTGAAACCTTCCTACAGAGGGGAATCTTGTGGCAGTCAGATATTACTGTTTCTGTTGGCTTCACTTCATATCTGCCCTGCATGTGATACATCCCCTCACATTTAATATGTCAGCTTTTAGACTCGGGAGATCTGAATATGTTCTAATACTGCTATTCTTTGCCAGGCCTATCATGATCCCATGCTGAAACTCTCCATCATGTCTGAGGAGGAACTCACCCACATATTTGGTGACTTGGATTCTTATATTCCTCTGCATGAAGGTAAGAGCAACTGGATCATTTTCATATAACATGCTAAGAGTTAAACTCTTTCTTGTGTTAGAGCAGCTTATTGGGGCATTGTTGCAATTTCTATTTTTGTGTTTGAATTCCAGACTTGTTGGCAAGTTTAGGAGAAGCAACGAAACCAGATGGAACAGTGGAGCAGATTGGGCCCATTCTTGTGAAGTGGGTGAGTACATAGAAAGCAAGCTAAAAATGAGCTTAAAGAACATTTAAGCTAAAAGCTGTGAGCTTTTGTGGCCTTGAGTGAAAGACTGAAAGGGAAATCCTGGCTGCACTGAAAACAATGGGACTCTGTCAGCCATAAGGGCCCTGATTCCACCCTCGAGACTTGGGCTGATGTGACTGCAATTAGTTGCTGATTTATGTTTGAAATGATTGTATCTTCTGGACTGCTTGTCACTAATGTGATTGCAGTTGTATTATCGTGGTTAATCTCCAACATCCCAGCTTCAAAGGCATCGTGTGCCTTGTTCTCCACACAAAGGACTAGCTACATATACAAGATAGTCTGTTAGATATTGCAGTAAGGGAAGTAGAACTCTCCAAGTTTGACATCTTAAAGTGATTTGCCTTTCCTGCATGGAATTTGACTCTGGAACATGGTTCTGTTCTCCTGCAGCTACCACGACTCCATGCCTACAAAGGTTACTGCAGCAACCAGCTGGCAGCCAAAGCACTTCTGGATCAGAAGAAGCAGGACAGGAGGGTGCAGGACTTCCTTCAGCGCTGCCTCGAGTCTCCTTTCAGCCGCAAGTTGGACCTTTGGAGCTTCTTGGACATTCCTCGGAGTCGCCTGGTCAAATACCCACTGCTCCTGAAAGAGATCCTGAGGCACACTCCCAAAGACCATCCCGATATCCAGATTCTGGAAGAAGCTGTAAGTAACAGTGATTTCATGATCGTTGTTCTCATATAAGCATCTCATCATAAAAGACTTGATGATCTTAAGGTCTTTTGCAACCCAGCTGATTGTGTGATTCTGCCTGGGCACACATCCCTATGGGCTGAGGTTCCTTCAGGGGAGCAAACGCAGGATACATGTTAACATCTACCCTTAGACTGTCACTGCTGGGCTTTGCAAGTTATATATGGTGGCCATGAACTTCATATGTGGTGTTTTGCTGGTGCTCAGATTAGAAAACACCCATTTCAGCTTGCCCATGCTGGGTGGTGGGGTTTGGGAGGGTTTAGAAAGCTTTCTAAAGCCCTCAGCAATTTAGTGGGGTGGTTTCCTTGGTGGATGCAAATCTGTGACTGCAGCCCTTTGTGAAAGCAAGTGGGAGATCAGTCCACATGGATTTCATCATCTGGAGTTCTTAACTAGGGAAGATACACAAGCAGAGGTGACTGATCATCTATGTATGTTTTGATTTATAGATATCTATAATCCAAGGAGTCCTCTCCGACATCAACCTGAAGAAGGGTGAGTCAGAGTGCCAGTATTACATTGACAAGCTGGAGTACCTGGATGAGAAGCAGAAGGACCCTAGGATTGAAGGCAGCAAAGCTTTACTGTGCCATGGGGAGCTGAAGAATAAAAACGGACATGTAAGTCCCTCATGTTCAGGGTGATTAATTCTCAGGTTTGAAAACCTTCCCTCGGAGGTAGTTAAAACTGATTGTCTGTTCTAGCAGGACCAGGAGCATTTCCATCCTTAGGGTTAGTTCAGACAATTAGCTGAATATGAAAAGCAGAAGAGAAAGCACCTGATGGCAGCCTGCATTGCAGAGTGTAAGGAAGGGAAAGTTTCCTTGTCCTTCAGAAGCTGGAAAATAATTAGCAGAGAATTACCATAGAAAGTGTGCTCTGTGCCCAAGCACTCCATCAAAAGGGATTTCCTGCTGGCTGTTTACTTTCAGGTGCTCTGACATTCCCCATTATGAGCCCTGGCTCACAGCTCTTCCAAAACAAAAGTGTTCCTGCAAAAGCCTGTTTGGCTTTGAGATGAACTGCCCGAAGTTTATCTCCTGCTGCAGCAGCACTAAAAGACCCTGTTCTGCTCCAGGGTTTGCTGCCTTTTGTCCTGGCTTGCAGGAGTAACCTCGTTGTAAACATCAAATCTTTTCTGTTTTCTTTATTTTTATTGTTGGTTGGGGTTAGGTTCTTTTTGTTGCATTTGGCCATTACATTTGTATACACATGAAGCATTTGGGGCCCCCAGAGACGTGGAGCTGTTGGAGCGAGGCCAGAGGAGGCCACGGAGGTGCTGCGAGGGCTGGAGCAGCTCTGCTCTGGAGCCAGGCTGAGAGAGCTGGGCTGGGGCAGCTGGAGAAGAGAAGGCTCCTGAAGGGGACACCTTAGAGCAGCTCCAGTGCCTAAAGGGGCTCCAGGAGACCTGGAGAGGGGCTTTGGACAAGGGATGGAGGGACAGGACAAGGGGAATGGCTTGAACCTGCCAGAGGGGAGATTGAGATGAGCTCTTGGGCAGAAGCTCTTCCCTGTGAGGGTGCTGAGGCGCTGGCACAGGGTGCCCAGAGAAGCTGTGGCTGCTCCATCCCTGGCAGTGTTCAAGGCCAGGTTGGACACAGGGGCTTGGAGCAACCTGCTCTAGTGGAAGGTGTCCCTGCCCGGGGCAGGGGTTGGAACTGGAGGAGCTTTAAGGTCCCTTCTAACACAAACCAGGCTGGGTTTTTGTATTATCAGAAAAGATTCAGCTTCTAATCAACTTATTCTTGGCATCTCTAAATCATAATTCACTGTTTAATGGTCTTTAAAATAACAAACCTGTTGATTTAAGCCTGGTCTTTGCCACCTCTGCCAAGGCCCTACATTGCTGTAACTGGGAACTCAGGAAGTTAACATGAGTGAAACTCCAGATAATGTGGCCTTGAATCCCAGAGGGGGTGTGACAGCTCTGCATGCGGAGTATGATGCTTTGCTCACATTCAGATGTGTTTTCCCTTTCAGAAACTCTATGTCTTCCTCTTCCAAGACATCCTGGTTTTGACCCGGCCGGTCACTCGCAATGAGCGTCAGGCCTACCAAGTGTACAGGCAGCCCATCCCCGTCCAGGAGCTGCTCCTGGAGGACCTGCAGGATGGGGATGTGAAAATGGGAGGATCCTTCCGAGGAGCCTTTGGCAACTCTGATAAAGGTACAGAGCAAACCAGTTCATCTGCCTGGGGATGTGTTGGTGAGGAGAAGCTAAGAGATCTGGGGGGACCTTCTTGCTCTCTGCAACTGCCTGACAGGAGGATGGAGCCAGGCGGGGGCTGGGCTCTGCTCCCAAGGAACAAGGGATATGGCACAAGAGGAACCGGCCTCAAGCTGCCCCAGGGCAGGTTTAGCTGGAGCTGAGGAACAATTCCTTGCCCAGAGGGTGCTCAGGCATTGGAACAGGCTGCCCAGGGCAGGGCTGGAGTCACCGTCCCTGCAAGTGTTCCCAGCCCGTGGAGCCGAGGCCTCAGTGCCAGGGGTCAGTGGTGGCCTTGGCAGGGCTGGGAATGGTTGGGCTGGATGAGCTTGAAGGGCTTTTCCAACCTGGTTGATTCTATGATTATACCTGGGCACAGATCCCTGTGGGCTGAGGTTCCTTTGGGGTAGCAGACACACGAGACAGGTTAACATCTACCCTTAGACTGTCACTGCTGGGCTTTGCAATATACATAGTGGCCATGAACTTCATATGTGGTGGCCTTGAACTTCATGTATGGTGTTCTGCTGGTGCTCAGATTAGGAAACACCCATTTCAGCTTGTCCGTGCTGGGCTCTGGGGTTTGGGGTTGGTTTTGGTGGGGTTTGAACGCTTTCCCTGCCGCAGAGCAGCCCAGGTCTCTTGTCTAGCAATGCAATCTCTAAACATTGAGCTGGAAACTGATCTGCTTCTTCCTATGTTTATCCTCAGCTAAAAATATCTTCCGAGTTCGCTTCCAAGATCCCTGCCCAGGCCAGTCCCACACGCTGCAGGCCAACGACGTCTTCCACAAGCAGCAGTGGGTGAACTGCATCCGAACAGCCATCGCTCCCTTCCAGAGGACTGCAGCCACAGCCGAGCTCAAGGAGCTGCCAGAGCTGAGCGAGGAGCTGGAGGAGAACAACCCCTCCGTGCCCAACATCAGAGCCCAGAAGAGGCAGTCTGGCACATCCGAGATGGAGCTGGATGAAAGCATGTCCGAGTGTGGCTCCATCCTGGACTCGGAGGAAGCCAAAGGAGTGAAAACACAGAGATCATCGACTGGGCACAGGACAACGAGGGAGAAGCAGCTCAGTGGGAAGCGGAAAGAGACGCTGGTGTGAAGGAGCCCAGCACCATCCTGCTTGGAAGACTGTTTATTTATAAATACTGTGTACATTTTCCTATGTGAGCATGATTGGGTTCCCTCTGCTGAGCAGGACATTCTCGATGGTGTAATGGCAGCTACTGGTATACAGTTAACCCTGTTGAGCTGCAGTCTGGTTTTACCCACACGGCCACTTTGAACCTGGTTTTAAAGCTGGGAGGGATTCAGAAACCTGTTTATGGCAGGTTGGAGGAGCAAACACCACCTCAAATGTGTGGTGGTTGAGGCTGAAAACCAGTCAAACTAAAGCAGAAGCATGGGCTGGCAGCACATCCCTGGGCACGGGGATTGGATCCACACACAGGAGTCCTCCTAAAGGGTCCTCAGAACCTGAATTCATGTTTTCTTCTTGCCCTCGTTACCAGAATCCATCTTTTCCATGGTAAAAAAGGAAAACCAGACCCCAGGTTCAACAGGGTTTCAATTTACCTACTGGAATCTTTCATCTTCTTGTGTCCTTTGTACATTCCTCATTTCCACTCTTGTAACCTGCCAGCTATTTAATTGTTTTGTAGTAGTTGTTTTGTTTCAAGTTTGGGGGGTTTTATTTTGGTTTTCTCTGTGGTTTGTTTTTTTTTTTTTTTTCTTTTTCTACTTTTGTATTGTGTTGTGGTTCACACTTGGCATTTCCTTTCAAGTACTTGATCCTTCTCCGAGGTGTGTGTGGCAACACAGGTTCTCACATCACCCCACACTACCATGGGGCACTGATGGGCTGGTGGCTGAGAGGAGACACTCAACCTACCCCATCAGAGTGAGCCACAAAGGCTTGTGTTTGCCCTGGACTACTGAAAGAGAACTGCACTGCTGGGGTGTAGGAATACTTTAGGCAACGTTGTGTAAAGGGTTTGGGGAGGGATGAGGAGCAGCAACTAGAGAGGAATAGCAGGGAGTGAAGGTAGATTTACTTTTGTTACCGTTGCCTTTTGGAAATGAAATGCCTTCCATAGGGAGGCAAGACTGGAGGCAACCAAGGGGTTATTGCATGTGGTAGAAAGGTAGAGCAGAGAAAGTGAAGCTGAGGTGTAAAGACAGAGGAGATAGAGGTTGTATATACTCATAACGGCAGCACTGCCATGTTCTAGAGGTCCAAAGATTTGTGTAAGAGATGCACTGCAAAGGGTTGTAGGAAACAAAGTGGTGACAGCTTCGAGCACAGCCAACAGGTCCTTCCTGTCCTTCAACTGGTCATTCCTGTCCTTCAGCTGCTGGTGACAGGGTGAGGACGGCGACGCCACGTACCCATCCTTGAGCGTTACCCAAAATTGGGCTTGAGGAGCCGTAACTCACGTGCAGAGGGTCACTGCTTGTGCTGCTGGGATGGAAGAGGATGTACATAGACACGGACGTGTGGTTCTCTGTAAATGTGTTGTACAGTTTGAGTGCCAAGTACATTAAACTCCTGAGAGCCTCTCGCCTGCCTCAACTCGGTCACTGCCTGGGAGGGACGTGCTCGGGGCTCTGCTGGGCACGAGGGTGCCTGCCCCATCCCTGGCAGTGTTCAAGGCCAGGTTGGACACAGGGGCTTGGAGCAACCTGCTCTAGTGGAAGGTGTCCCTGCCCGGGGCAGGGGTTGGAGCTGGAGGAGCTTTAAGGTCCCTTCAACCCAAACCAATCTGGGGTTCTGTGATGTGGTGGTTACAGCTCCATGTGGGGTGTGAGCAGCCACCACCCTTGTAGAACAGGGCTCTGCTCCCTGACTCACTGCAGCTCCTCCCTTTCTGGGCAAAAAGGGAGCAGTGGGGGATACTCCTTGTTCTCCTGGGGCACTGAAACCTCTTTGCTCTGGAAAACAAACCACTCCCCAGTTAGCAAATAGAAATCCTCTCCTGGATCAACCTTCACACTCAGCCTTGAGCACAAAGGGGACTCCCCGCTGCTGGGACAACTGGGGAGCACCCAGTTATCAGCACCATGGGGAAGCCACCAGCTCTCCCAAGAAGCTGCTGCCTGTCCGTGTAGGGGGGTGTTTGGGCACGGCAGCAGCTCCTGGATGGAGCTCCATGTCCATTCCTTCAGGCTGGCATCACTTCCTGCGCTCCCCACTGCATCCCAGGGCCTGGATCAGGAGGGAAGACACAGCTCAGTCTGTAGGGATGGAGTTTGAGGCTGAGTTTTGACCTGGGGGGGCTTCAGCCCTGTCCAAGCTGGAGAGAAGCCTGGAAGAAACAACCCAGACATTAGGGAGCTGCGGGAGCACACGGCTCATCCCAACTGGAGAGGAAATCCTGTGGAGCGCCTGCTTATCCTCATGTGCGTCAGGCTGGGGCTGAACCCTTGTCTCATCGTCCTGTAGCCAACAGCAGATCAGCCAAAAACCTGATTTCCCTTTAAAAGTCAGTTCCCCCCCTCGTCTCCCGGTGGTTCCTATCCCAGATTGTCCCTCCGGCAGGAATGTGCAGCCCGCAGCCGCCGCCTCAGCTCTAGACTAAACAAGACGGGTTTTCCTGGTTCCTCCCGTGCTGAACTCCAGACCTTGAACCACTGAGCCAAGACCCCCCATCCCGTGTAGGGGGGACCCGGGATACAGCAGGGAGGAATTCCCAAGGGAAGAGGGGGGAAATTCTTGAAGGCAAAGAGGAAACCTGGGCCCCCCTCAGCCCCTACAGCCTTAGTTGTAGTAGCATCCCTGCTGTGGCCAAAGGTGTCCAAAGGGAAAGGGAAGGTGTCCGTGCCCAGAGGACGTGTGGGCACCTCCACCCTGGGTAAGCAGCTCCCTGGACCCATATTTGCCTTTAGGGATCCACCCAGGTTGGGTGCTACGTGTGGAGTGGAGCCAACACCTCCCACTTTACAAGTGAGACCATCCCGGAGTCGTGGTTAGAGTAGGGTGAATCCCTCTTCCAGCACCCCAATCCCAGCTTCCCTTTTCCAGCCACAGTCATGACTTGTAGGTCTAAAAGTGGGATCTGGATCCCTTTGCTTGGCCTATAGAAGCCTGACTTTAGGAGCTGCCCAGTTCTGGCAATGAGTGATGGTCATGGGGAGGTGATGGGGAGATGGTGGGTGCTGGTCATGGGGAGGTGATGGGGAGATGGTGGGTGCTGGTCATGGGGAGGTGATGGGGAGATGGTGGGTGCTGGCAATGGAGAGACAATGAGGAAGCAAAACTCCCACATCTTCCAGCTTCACCCAGCACCAGGGAGCACCCGGCACAGCTCAACCCCTTCACCCCTCCCCAAGTGACCCGGGTCCCCCCCAGCTCCACCTCCCTTTAGAGCTCAACCAACCCCCCAGTAGCTTGAACAACCCCCAGTTCACCCTCAGCTTGGAAACCTCTGTTAAAACCCCACCTAAAACAAACCACAAGCCTCTGAATCCCAGACTTTACACCCTGCTATTCCCTGGAGACCCCCACGGCCACCATGGGATCATTCCCAGCTCAGCGTCTCC